GAGGAGGAGGGGCAGGAGGAGGGGGACGGGAGGGGGACGGGAGGGGGACGGGGAGAAATGGAGGCTCAGTCTGGAGTGGGGCTGGGAATCTGAATTTCTAACAAACGCCTCCGGTGATTCTGAGGGTGGCCAAATACAGGACCTGCAGGCAGAGAGGGCACATGAGCAAAGCTGTCCTCAGTCAAAATACAAATACAGAACAATCGAGCTGACACATAAAAAAAAAAAAAGATTACAAAGGAAAAGAGCCATGGGGAAAGAAGGCAGCTGTGTTGCCAGCCCCTCGGGGATGTCAGCCTTCTCAGTGACTGCTGAGAGAGGGCCAGCCACAGTGGTCCTCTCTGTCACCCTGGAGCTCACCCACCTACGCAAAAAATAGGGGAGAAGCAACATGCAGAGAGATTCTGCAGGGAAAGCACGGTGTGGAAGCAAACCAACCCCTGCAACGCAAAAGCCCTGCCCCTGGGCTCTGCCAGAGCTTCCCGCTGGACCAGAGGAGCACAGCCTCCCAAGAGAGCCCACCTTCTCACAAAGGAGAGCTCAGGGGAGACCAAGACTCCAGAAGTGCCCGTCCTGCTGCAAACACAGGCAGCACAAAATTAAAGGCACAGAAAATAAAGCAGCTCATCAGACAAAGAAAGGCCAGCAACTGTGACAGCTCCTCAAATTTTCACGAGAACAGCCGGGCTGAATTAAGTAGCACTGATTCAGGTGAGGGGCGCTTTCTAGGGATTAACAGTTGCCAGGGAGGAGCTGAGATGGCCTGAGGCAAAACTGGCGGGGGGCGGCGGTAGGGGGTGGTCAGAAACCCTACCAGCCACCCTTCCTTCCCCAGGCAGGGCGGAGCTCCGGGGGGCGGGGTTTCAGAGCTGGGCTGAGGTCACGTGATGCTACTGTCACTGTCACAGCTGGCACTGCAGGTGCTCCGGGGCAGGGGCGGCACCTCCTCCCACAGGGGCATCAGCCGTGGGGGCGCCACAGCAAGTGTCCAGGACGCGCCCTCGCCCAGCCGAGCTTCACAGTTCACGGTAGACGCGGGGAGAGGGAGCCGGTGGCTTGGTGGTCATCCTGCCGCGTTTCAGCAGGGCCCCAGGGAGAAACCGCGTGGCTGCTAGAGCCGACCCCTCCGTTTGGAAATGAGGCCAATAGCACCCGCCCTGTCCACTGAGGGCTTAGTGGACACCACCTGCCTGCACTCCCCATCTGGACCTCAGTCCCCCGTGGCTCACAGGCCAGGACCCCCATCATTATTTTTCTCTCTCACCAGCTCATGGCTGGAGGCGGCTGGGAGCACGTCCCAAGGAGGGGAATGACAGACACACAGCACACAGCACTGCCAGACGGGGACACACACGACACCGCTGACGGGAGAGGACACAGAGGGGAAGCCCCTGTCCACCCTCACTGCAGGGAAGCAAGCCGGAGACAGGGGAAAGGAGACAGGGGCAGTCAGCGAGATGGCCCTCATCATTTTAAAACGCAGGTGGTAATCGTGTGATAACAGTAACACTGTCAGAAACCAGAGGGACAACCGGACTTCCTCTGGAGACAGAAGGAAATAGGGATGCTATGCTCCCCCCACTGCAGGGCATCCTCTCCAGGGGGCAGATGCCTCTGGAAACACGTGTCACACGTGGGAGGAAGCATGTGGCACACATGTAGGGAACCATGCACATCACACGCGAGAAGACCTGTGTCTCACACGTGGGAGGAAACATACTACATGTGAGGGGAAGCACTGTCACGTGTGAGAGGAACACACGTGTGATGTGAGCAGAACAGGCATGCATGTCTGAGATGAAACATGCACGCCGGGTGTGAGGACTGTTTCCGGCGGCACAGGTGTCCATGCAGGCAGCCTGGCCCCCCTGCTCCCTCTCGCCTCTCCCTTCCCCCTGGGCTCCCTCCCCGAGGATGAGCCAAAGTACTATGAAAACACAGGCCCACTGGCAAGTGACACAACTCATCGCAGCCTGAAGGCCTCAGCTCAGACGCCCCCTTCTCTGTGACGCTGGCTCTGATGCCACCAGGAAGAAACTGGTGTCCTTCCGGCCACGTGCCACTCCGCCTGGACCTCTCTCCTCAGTGTCACTGCAGTTATCTGCACATCTATGTCACCACATCATTGGAAGCTGAACTCGGGGCACAAGTGTATCTGTTCCTTCTGTGAGTCTCACACCTAACACAGTGAGAGGAATCAGAGTCCTGTCACCACACTAAATAAGCATTGCTGAGCAAATGAATGAATGAGTGAATGAATGACTGTCCCAACAAGGCCATGTACCTTTCTCAGAAACAGAAAAGAAACGCCAGCAGGTCAGCAACACCCTTTCATTCCTATCGTCTGGATTCACAGCCACAGGTGAAGAGTGTAAAAAGAAAGGTATAAACCTCAGCCTCCACCCTTAAATTCAACTGTGGCCAGAAATAAATAACTGAAGCCAGAGGCTACAAGCCTGAATCAGCAGCTTAATGAGGACTTTTTTTTTTTTTTTGGCAGTACGCGGACCTCTCACTGCTGTGGCCTCTTCCGTTGCGGAGCACAGGCTCCGGACGCCCAGGCTCAGCGGCCATGGCTCACGGGCCCAGCTGCTCCGCGGCATGTGGGATCCTCCCGGACCGGGGCACGAATCCGTGTTCCCTGCATCGGCAGGGGGACTCTCAACCACTGCGCCACCAGGGAAGCCCTTAATGAGGACTTTGAAAGGAAAGAGCCAGCAGAGGACACAGTGGTTCTGCACCTATAGCACTCAAGGAGCCTTACACACTGGAGGATGCGGCAGAGGTTACCAAGAGTTACGCACTTGTTACCATTAACTACCGAACTTTTCTGGACCTTACCACTGGAAAGTTGGATTTCTAAGACTGATTTTTAAGAAGAACCAAAGTCTCTCATATAATATGAAAATGTTTCTTTTACTAGGCCCACGGACTGACAGCCCGTATTCTAAAAGCCAGGACTGTTCCCGTAGACAGTACATTTGATAAACAGGCATATGGAGCTGTAAACTACATTTGTCAGGAGGCTGATGTCCCCCCTGGCTTAGATAATTACGATCCACTATGACAGGGCCACATAAGAGGTGCTCCCTGACACTGGTTAGCAATGCAGATGCTTGGGCCCACCCCCGAGATTATCTTGCTTCAAGAAGGATTTCAGGAAGATTAAAGCACTTTATGTCATTTGGGGCTGATCCTTTCTTAGTATCATAACCAAATGGTATACAATTTTGCCTGATAAAACCAGGTACAATGTAACTTACTAATGCCTTACACTACCGCATTTTGCTCTTAATTCATTTGTTTCTGTCAGCTTTTAATATTTTCTAGAAAAAATTTATAAGCAACCCTCATTAAATAATAATAACAATTTCTTTCTTTTCTTAAGAAGTTTAAAAACTGATGTTCAGGAATCCCCTGGTGGTCCAGTGGTTAGGACTCTGAGCGTTCACCACTGAGGACGTTGGTTCAATCCCTGGTTGGGGAACTAACATCCTGAAAGCCACACGGCGCAGCCAAAAAATATAAAAATAAAAACTGATGTTCTACCAAGAAGGTCAATGGTACAGGCCCGGAGCTGGGTGGAATTGAAACACAAGTAGATGAGAAAAAGGCAGTTAGTCGTCCACCTGGCTCTGTCCCCAGGCCTCTAACACCTCCCCCATCACAAACTCCACCCATCCATCCCCAGAGGAAACAGCTGTGCCTCCTGTCACCAGCTCCCTGTGCTGTCACCTGGTTAGCCTTCCCCTCTCCCCGCCAACCAGCACCCCCAGGCTGCACGGTGCCGTCACCGGGTTTCCTCTTGCCCTGTGAGACAGCCACTGCTAACTATCTTTATAAATAAATCATTCCCACCTGACATTTTCCAGGAGGAAAGTAACACATACACATACACACATGTTCAGAAAACTGGAAACTATAAAGAAACAATTTACATCACATTCACATTCCCTGAAGATAACCATGGCTCAAATTTCGAGCCCTTCTGACCTATTTCTAGTCTTTATTCTATGCTGAGATTCAATTTTGTACTTTATCTACTTTTTTAATAGAGGTATAATTGACATAACATTACATCAGTTTCAGGTGTACAATGGAATGATTCGATATTTGTATATATTGCAAAACAATCTACTTTTTTTTTTTTACACAATAGTGATCACACAGTATATACAATCTGAACATTTCACAGAATCACCTAAGAATTTTTAGGTTGTAACGCTTCTGAGGAGACTCAGCTTTTCAGGCATGCAATGAGGGAGCACTCTGCCGACAGTGGCCAGGCTCAGCCAGGCTAATCATGTGAATCTGCCATCGAGGATGGGAATGCCATAGGATCCAACCTACTACCTGCACGATGTGATCGCTTCTTGTGCTTTCACCATTCTATGCACCAATACGATTTTACCCCTTGTATATAAAGCTTTTTCGATGTTTTAAGCATAAGAATTACGTGCTAAATAATATGAACATTTACTTATGAAGCTCTAGATGTATACCATCAAATTAGCTGCCAAAATGACTATGCCAACATAAAGTCCCTCATCAGCATGGGAGAGTGATGATTTCACCACACCCCATGTGGCACCGAATACTCTTGGACAGCGATTTTAACACCATTACCCCTCAGTGACAACAGTAACTGGATGGGGGCTGCACCACGTGACACCGCCTGATGTGCGTTTCCCCAAGATCAAGGGCAGTGCACAACTCCGCAACATCCACGGCACCTGCAGACAACCCTACCTCTATTTGAGGATGAGGAAGACGAAGTCCAGCAAAGTTAATCCATTTGCTCATGGTCACACTTTTGTGTCAAGCCGTGGACTGAACGTCAATCTTGTGAGTATCCAACAGCCTTTCCACTATAGTGGCCAGGACAGCACATGGGTCACACCCTGTATATCTCCCTGGACCAACAACTGGCAGCGACAGCCTGGAACTCTATGTTGCGATGGGATTATGGCCTCGTCCAGGCTCAGCTAGAGAGAGTGCTATGAGCCATCAGAGCAGTCAACCACTGGCTGGGGTCAATGGGGTGATGCTGACCTCGTACCCTGGGTTGCTTCTCAACCACTTACACGGTGAATCTTATATACCCACAAAACCAAAACACGAAACTACGGCAATAATGCTACACAGAATAAGTTTAAATTATTTAATTCAATCGTCACATACAGTTGGCTATGTAAATCCCAATGAAAGTTTAATTTTGTTTGTGTGGCATTAATTTTCTCAAATGTTGCTTGAAAAATCAAGAATGAAATGGTTATAAAACTAAGAACAGGCTTAGTAACTAACATGTATACATTTGTCAAAAATAGTTACCTGATTATCATATTTTAGAGACTGCGTCCCAACCAGAAACCGAATGGCATCTGTTTCTGCCGTTTGAGGTGTGAGAGCACGTGCCTGCAGGAGGGAAGGAAAATGCACACACATGTATGAAGGTGGATCTAACAGACAGATTAGAAAGGCAGTTGCCTCTTCTACTGCTGATGGAGTAGCAACTGGTACAGAGCGCCTGCAAGGCAGTTTAGAACCATGAACGAAGAGCCCTCAACTCTTGTACTCTTTGTGACACAATTCCACTTCCAAAGTATATCTGGAAACAACTGTAAGTGGGCACAAAAATTAAGCAATAAAGATATAAATTATGTTTTTTAACAAAACCATTATTTACTTTCAACAGTAATTGATTGGTTGAAGAAATTATTCTTCAATAACAGAGCAGAAAATGGCTCCCAGTGATGGCAGAACAGGTGGTTTAAGCCAAGTCTCCTGCAGAGCCAGCTGGAAAAACTAAACCAAAAAGCCTGAGTTTGTTTCAAGGCTTCAGAAAGCTGCCAGTCATGAAATGCAAGCTCCAGGAAAGGAGAAGTTAGAGGAGGGCTGACCTCCTACCCACTTTCACCTGGAGGCCCTCATCAATTTGGAATAGGCGGCTAAGCGGTGATGCTGAGGAGAGCATCTTACAGGCTCCCAGAGCTGGGTGAGTGGAGTGCAGGATCCTCGGGGGAGGAGGGGCCAGCAGAGCGAGAGGCTTTGGGGTGGGATCCTCCCCAGCCCGGGTCACAGGCCAGGCGCGAGGGCGAACTAGAGTGAGATGAACCTGCTCAGCCTGGAGCTCCAAGTCACCTCAGCCCTTGAGTGGATCTCAGGTGACCTGAGCCCGCTGGCACTCCTGTGCCCGCCCGCCGCCTGCCCCAGACACCGCACCCAGCCAAGTCTGGAGCTCACTTTTCAAACAGTGGCGAAGGCTTCTCTCCTCTCTTCTCAGACTCTGGGAAATCATACAAAAGCAGGAAGGAAAATGAAGAGCACAAACACAAACTCTGTCTTCAGTGAAATGCGGAAACATCTGTAATCCAAACGCGCCTGAGAACAAAGCCTCCGAGGCGGCCAAGGCGCCAGCTGAGAGAAGACACCGCAGAGGACGCTGGCAGCGACACCCCAGACACAGGCGGGGACAACACCAGGAACCGCCCGGAGGGGGTGGCAGAAACAGGTGCCCTGCACACGCTGGGGCAAGAACAAGAGCAGGGCTGGGGACGGACTGGCATCTCCTCGGGAGCAGCCTGGGGCTCCGTGGGATGGAGTGGGAAGCCAGACTCTGCCAGACGCCTTGGCCTTGGGGTAAATGCCAGCTAAAGGGTTTACTCAGCAAAGCCCTGAGCTGCAAGAACTCCTGTCGGCCTGGGCGTGGGCCTGGCCCACCTCCACCTACAGAGCCTACAGCGAGCTGCTGCACGCGAGGGCTCAGCCCTGGACATGATCTAGGGTCCAGCATGGGAGACCTGCAAGGGCACCATGAGGAGGGACGGGGAGGGGGAGGGGAGGAGACAACGGGAAAAGGCGTCAGAAGATGCAAGCATTAGGCAGATGCTGCCACAGAAGAGCCAGAGCCCGTGATTATACACACAGACACTCACCTACAAAACCCAATGGAGCAATCACCTCTTCACAAGCGAGGGAGAAAACCAGAAAAGACTAGAGAGGGAAGGCAAGACAACCCCAGACAACTGAACCTGAGTTGACACAGCTGGAGGAACTGAAAACCAGACCCAATGCTGGAAGGATGCAAAGACAGAAACCCCAACGAATAATGTATGCAATATCTGAAGATACAACAAATCTATAGAATGAAACTATAAGATGGCTTTGTGCTTAAATTTGTCACTGTTAAAATGCAGTGTCTTCGTGCATTGGGTTGGAAGCAGCAGATCCACTGGCTATTTGATCACAGTTATTGTACGTCCTTTAAAATAATCTTCCACCCTTTGAGAAAAAGGGTCCTAGAACTCACCCAAGATTTGATATATTACTTGTCTTAATAGTGTAAACAGATTTCCAGTCATCATCTTGCAGAGCAAGTGTGAAAGGAACATCTAGGTTATGGTAATAGAAACACAAGAATTTAGGCACTTGGCTCAAAGGGATACAGGACAAGGAAATGGAAACTCCAGGAGGAGAAACCGGCACCAGGTGCACAGCTAGTAAGGATGGCACTAACCAGGCAATCCAGGACACGCACACAAAAATAAGGTAAGGTACAGAACTTAAAATTCAAATTTTTTCTGTGCAAAAATCCTGAAAAGCTGGCTAAACAAGTCATAGAACCCTACTTGAATCAGCAGTCAACAATGTAATTAGAAAAATGAGAAACCTGAGTATAGATTTGGCAAAAGATTGTAATTAACTATATTGGGAGTCTGAAGGAAGACAGGAGAGCATAGAAAAAGCCAAAAATCCTCACGTGCCATGCCATCCAGTCGCCACGTTATATCAAGAGATAAAAGCAAGAAGGTAAAGACTAGAAGAAACACTTTTTAAAATGTTGAAAGTGGTTGTTCTCAAGAACTCAGATAAGATGGAAAGGGAGTGCTTAGGGCTGGCTGATTTTTAATCAGATTTTCAGCCACTGACTGCGTAAACAATTCGTAAGAATTACTTGTTTTAAAATTTTTAAATACACAAAAAGAAAAAGAGCTAAAATCATGAACACAAGTCAAAACGTTGCAGAAACACGGATGTGCTCGGCATTTTCTCATTTTAACGGCCCCTCTATGCTGGTCTTCTGCCTCTTATTTGCACAGTGGTGCCTCATTTTACCCTCCAAGCCTCATTACCTTCAGTCAATGGTCAATAATCAGATTCCCATCTTCTATGCAAACTGTGCTCCACAGTGATTTAAACATCACTGACAACCAAACCTCCACTATAACTTTCAGTTCTTTTATGTTTACTGTAGTAATGGTTCTTCAAATTCAAGAAAGCCATGGCCCACAGAGCTGTGTAAAGTAAACAAGTGCAAAAACCAGCTACCTTTTTTAACATAAAAAAGAAATTAAAAAAAAAGATAAAGAGATTCAGATAAAATGCTTGATGCCCAAGGCAAGGATCTACTCTGTTGATTTGTCAAAATCCCAGGAAACAACATTTCAGTTACCTCAAAGATCCAACAGTGAAGATCAAAACCTCCGGTTACTTAGGAGATTACTTAAGGAGACCAAAAAGTTATTAAGTAGCATTGGAAGAAGATGCACACTTGAGGTAGCACAAGGTCAGAGAACCTTCTCTCTCCCCCTGTGCACCCTCTGGATGCACCATCTGGATGTACCCACATGTGTACCTTGTTAAGGAGAAAGCAGTTTAACTTTGTGGTTAAGGAGCTTTGAAGTCAGTTTGGGTTTAAAGCCTACATAGGCTAGAATCCCTAGCTAAGCAGCCATAGACCACAGGAAAAATAGCATCTACCAATACGATTGCTGTAAGAATTAAACAAAATATATGTATGGTGTTAAGAAGAGTGCCTGACACACAGTTCTCAATAACTGGTCGTTAAGGCACCAGTCTGTGTGATAGAGCCAGCTGTCAAGCCCTGTAACAGTTCATGACTCATAGGACACTAAAATACTGCCTTGTGTGGAATTTATCTGTTAAGAATTTTGTCTCATTATAATAATCAGAACATTTACTGAATGCTTATTATATGCCAGGCAGTGTTCTAAGTGCTTGAATTAAATGTATTAACTCATTTAATTTCATAACAGCCACAAGGGGGAGATGCTTATTTTCCCATTTTACTGACAAGGAAACTGAGGCCCAAGGTCACACCTAAGTGCTGGAGCCGACGTCAGCATTAGGGGAAGCTGGATGAAGGGGACACAGGAACTTTCCGTGTCTCTTCGCAACTCTTAGTGTAGATTTAACATTGTGTCAAAATTAAACGCCCCCCCCCCCCGCAAAAAAAAATAGAGTGCCTGCTTCCAGGAACGCCAATGCTGGAGGAAAGGTACACAAGCAAATACACCGAAGTGAGTGGTGAGAATTAGGCCACAAGGAACGCCCGGGGCTGAGGGGAGGCGGCGGGGGCTCCCAAGCCCGGGGGTCGCGGGCAGAACCGCTGCGCCCCCCGTGTGTCACGCAGGCCCCCAGCCCGTCCTGGATGACCAGGGCCTCTGGCCCCCGAATCCCCAGTGACCTCGGCTGCACCGACGTCGCTGGGCCCTCCTGTCACCCACCTGGAACTCCAGGCCGTAGATCACCGGCGCGTCGTCTTCCATGCTGCGGCGGCTCACTCGCCTAAGGCCGGTCCCCGGAGCGGGCGCGCCCCACCTCAGCGTCCATTCATTCCCTCCAGCCCCGGCGGCGCCAAACCGGAACGCTTTCTGGCCCACCCCGGCTCCCGTAGGGCTCATTTCCTGTGTTTTCCTGATGAGTCATCAATGCGCTCCTCGCCGGCGGCCAATGGCGGCAGCGCCGGGCTTGTGCGCATGCCCACTTGGCTCCCATCCGGGCTCTCAGCTCCCAGGCCCCGGAGAGTGGGACTGCGAGGGGAGGGCCGGCCTGCGAACTCCCGCAGGGAGGCGGGGGCGGAGCGAAGCCGGCCCAGCCCGGCTCGCAGTTACGGCCGCCCGGCGGTCTGCAGCTCAGGCCACTCCCTGCTCTATCGCCTCAGGGGGAATGGCTCCCCTGGGGCTGTAACGCTGTCGTTGGACGGCTGGACGCCGGGACGCATGCTTTGTAGGCACTGTCGTTAAGTTCTTCGCTCCAGCTTTACGGCTAAGGCTTCATTCTTACATTTTACAGATGGGCCGCTGCAAATTTCAGTGACATTTGAGGGCACAGAGGGGTTATGTTGGGGGGCTAGGGTATGTGTCTGGCCTGTCAGACTCAGGTAGGCTGGGACCAGGAATCCTTAAAGTCAGGGACCGGGCTAGTTCATATCTGCAGGCGCCAGGCGGTGTGTGTGGAGTGCCCAAGGGATCGCACTGCCAGGGCTGGGGTGATGCCTGGCATCGAACCACTGGCATTGTGTGGCAACATTTGCCTCTGTAGGAAGCCAGGTGGGAAGATCCTGGGGTCCGTGGATCTCCAAGGACTGTCATGCTGGAGAGGTTGCCCCGCTCAGGCAGTACTCCCAAAGTGCTTGCCTTGACATTAGGCAATGCCTTTGGCAGACAGGAATGACACTGCATGGAGTCCCAAAATCCCCATAGCTGAACCTCCTTCACTAACCTGGGTACCATAGGTTTCCAGGACCATGCACCTCTCCTCCATCTGTGTGACCATTTAACTTTTCTCTCTTCCCTTAATCTTTGTTTCAAATAACGAGGTCTGGAACAGGTGTTTGATATCACTGATCATCAGGGAAATGCAAATGAACCACAACGAGCTATCACCTCACACCTATTAGAGTGGTTGTCACCAAAAAGTTAAAAGATAAGTGTCGGCAGGATTGGAGAAAAGGGAACCTTTGTACACTGCTGGTGAGAATGTAAAAGGATACATCAACTATGGTAAACAGTATGGCGATTCCTCAAAAAATTAAAAATAGAGCTACCATATGATCTCACAATCCCACTTTTGAGATCTGAAGAAAATGAAATCCCTATCTTGAAGAGATATCTGCACTCCATGTTCACTGCAGGATTATTTGCAGTAGCTGAGACATGGAAACAACCTAAATGTGTGTGTGTGTGTGTGTGTGTGTCTGTGTGTGTGTGTGTGTGTGTATGCACACACTCAGCAAGGGCTCACTGCCCTATGCCCATAGAAGACAATACTATGGTACCAGCTTTTGAGAAAAGAATGAGCTTTATTGTGAGGTTGCCCAGTAAGGAAATGGGAGACAGGTCTCAAATCGGTCTCCCCAGTCCAAGGTTCAGGGTGAAATTTAAGGGGTTAGGGAAATTTCAAACTTGGAAGCTGATTGGTTAGGCTCAAATCAGTCCATATAAACTACCGGTGCTGCTGGAAGCCAGATTTTCCTTATTGAAAGATTTCCTGCCTCATAAAGGGCTCCAGCGACATTTCTATTTGAGTTCTGTAGACTGAAGATTCTTTGGGGGTCATCCTGGAGACACGTGCAGTGCTGTCTGTAAAATAACTCAAGGTTTGATTAATCAATTTAAGGAGAATAAGCAGTTTAAGCTGGTCAATGTTTTTTAACATGCTTTTTCATATATATAATGAAATATTATTCAACCTTAAAATGAAGGAGGTCCTGTCGTTTGTGACAACATGAATGAACCTAGAGGACATTGTGCTAAATGAAATAAGCCAGATACAGAAAGACAAATACAGTATGATTCCACATACATGTGGAATCTAAAAGAGAAAGTTGAAATCATTGTAACAGAGAGTAGAATGGCAGTTACCAGAGGCTGAGGGGTGGGGGAAAGGGGAGATATTGATCAAAAAGTACAAACTTTCAATTGTAAGATGAGTAAGTTCTGGAGAGATAGTTAATAATAATGTATCCTACACTTGATAGCTAGTGGGAACATGCTATAAGGCACAGGAAGCTCAGCCCGGTGCTCTGTGATGACCTAGATGGGTGGGATGGTGGGAGGTCCAAGAGGGAGGGGATATATGTATACATACAGCAGACTCACTTCGTTGTACAGCAGAAACTAACAACACTGTAAAGCAATTATACTCCAATTTTTAAAGATATACTATAATTGAAATTTGTGGAGAGTAGATTTCAAGTGTTTTCACCAAACACAGAAAATGGGAAATAAGTGAGGTGATGAGTAAGTTCATTAGCTCCATTGTGGTCATCATCTCACAATGTATAGATATATCAAAACATCACGTTGTACACCTTAAATATATACGATTTTTATTTGTCAAATATAAAATATTTTTTTACATCTTTATTGGAGTATAATTGCTTTACAATGGTGTGTTAGTTTCTGCTTTATAACAAAGTGAATCAGTTATACATATACATATGTTCCCATATCTCTTCCCTCTTGCGTCTCTCTCCCACCCTCCCTATCCCACCCCTCTAGGTGGTCACAAAGCACCGAGCTGATACACTAGCTATCTATTTTACGTTTGGTAGTGTATATATGTCCATGCCACTCTCTCACTTTGTCACAGCTTACCCTTCCCCCTCGCTATATCCTCACGTCCATTCTCTAGTAGGTCTGTGTCTTTATTCCTGTCTTACCCCTAGGTTCGTGACATTTTTTTTCTTAGATTCCATATATATGTGTTAGCATACGGTATTTGTCTTTCTCTTTCTGACTTACTTCACTCTGTATGACAGACTCTAGGTCCATCCACCTCACTACAAATAACTCAATTTTGTTTCTTTTATGGCTGAGTAATATTCCACTGTATATATGTGCCACATCTTCTTTATCCATTCATCCGATGATGGACACTTAGGTTAGATATCAAAACATCATGTTGTACCCCTTAAATATATACGATTTTTATTTGTCAAAAATAAAATATTTTAAATCATTAAAAAATAAGAATAAAGAATTGGCTGGGTCTGGTTTGGCTTAGTTGTGCTCCAGCGCCTAGTGCTGTGCCTGGTACTTAAGCTGGATAGGAATCCTTGGATGAACGAAGAGATCTGGGTGGTTACACCAGAAATCAAGGAAGTAGAGGCACAGACGTGGGCATCCTATTCACCGGCACCGTTTGCCTAAGATTAAGTTGTGGCGGTAAGGAATGCAGGATCTTCATACTGCTGAATTAAATCCACCCAGCTATTATTCGTATTATTATTATTACCATTTTTATCGTTAATGTGGTTACACAGTAGTACAGATGCATGGCAGGAAAAGTTGAAAATACACATAGGCACAAAGACAAATCCCTGAAAATAAATGTTTCTAGGGTGCTTTGGCCAGGAAAAAAAAGAGCTTAACCATCTCCCTTCCAGCTGCCCCTCTGCCACAGGTTTGTTTGTCGCCTCTGAGGGTCACAACGATTTCCCTCCCCAGTCCCAGGGAAGGGCTGAACTCCCCCCCCTCCCCGCTTATTCCCCGCCCCCGATTCCCACCTTGGGGCCCACGCCCCGCCCACCAATGCATGGACCGGAAACGCGCCGGGAGCTTGGCTCCTCCACTGGGCAGGCGCGGGAGCAGGCGCGCGCAGGCGCAGAAGCCGCGGAGGCGCCGATTCCAGTCCCTCCTTCCCGGCTTCCTCTAACCTTCTCCTTGCACCCTGGGTTACGGCTGTAGGTGACCCCTTCTCCAACCCCAGGGGGCCGGTGGCAGGTAAGGACAGGGCCCGGGCTGTAGGGAGGGGGTCGTGTTGTCCCTAAGCGCAGCCCCGCCGGCCCTCAGACAGAGTCCCCCGGGGGTCTTCTCTGCGGGTCTCCTCCCCGGCGTTTCTTCTCCCCGGGGTCTCGTCTCTGTCCCTCCTCCCGCCAAGCACAGGCTGGTCCTGCCGGGTCCGCAGCGCGGGCCTTCCCTTCCGGGGGCGGCCGTTGGCTGCACATCCCCGGAGCAGCCCCAACGCTTGGCACCGAAAGCTGGGGAGGGGTCTGCGGCCCAGGTCCCAGCTGTGGCCCTCAGCGACTTCTTAGTCCTGGTTTACTCTCCGGCAGGTGGACGTTCACAGTGACTCGCCCGACCAGACTCAGTATTGTGCGGGCAAAACGCGGTGGTTTGTGTAAAAGCATGTAAGTCTTGTAAATGTTGGCTGATTCCTTCCAGGACAGCATCCAGGACAGAGCTGACTGATAAGAGTGCATATACTGGGAAGATTTGAAAACACTTTTATTGTAAAAGAGCATAAGGCTCAAAGATGTGCTTTAAAATATGCCTGTTTTCCTCACCCTCATCCACAAAAGAGTTTGACCCCAATGAGACATTTCCTTGAACCTGTCATATCTCTTTATAGCTACTGGAAAACACTGTATTTAAATACTTCTTGTTTCTTTTCGTCACTTCAGAAGGTTGTACTGGGTGGCATACAGCGAGTTAGGCCCCTGTGTGATGGGCTGGGAGAAGGGATTGAGGACTTCAGATAGGATAATATTCACCAGTCCGCACATCCTGTGACTTCAAACAGGATCTTCACCGTTCCAAGACTGTGTTACCACTCTGCTTCGTCAATAAACTTATAATTACTATGTTTATGTGCAGCTCATCACAGTTAAAAAAGTTCCTGTGCATCCGTTGCTATTTAATCTTCATTATCCCAGTTTACAGATGAGGAAGCCGGGACTAAAGGATTAAATCATTTTCACCTTATTTAGCAGTGAAGCTAAGACTCAAGCAGTTACTCAGAGCTCTTTGTGCCTCAGCCTGCGGCTCTCGGTCACGACCTGTGTAGGAGCCTTACAAGGAGAGCAGAGGCAGAAAAACTTGGAATCCTGTCAGCATCAAGTATTGGTACTGTGGCTTTGGGCAAATCACTTGACTTTCTCTGGTATGATGG